TCTTATATAAGCAATACAGTGCAAATAAGCGAAGCTTAATCAGAAAAGCATGAACAATATGGCACATTACAGATGCAGGTATGCGTATGCGACTGAATTCAATAATGCACGGAGGACATAGTAGAGCAGGAAACCACATTGAAGTAAAAAGAAAAGCAGGCAAAATGATGAAGAAATACCAGTAAAACGCACCTGAGGAGAATAAGCTTCAGGAAGGTTTGAGGTTGGTGGGTGGAAAGAAAATGCGATGAGCGATACGAATGTTGATGAATGATTCTGAAAAGTGGAAAGGCAAGTTAATGAGGAAACTGAAGTTGAAAGGATTAAAACCGCGAAACCAAAAGGCAGAGGTATTGGAGTAATTTCAAGGTAGACAAGACAGTTGAGGGACGTTTTTGTAGTGGGAGTTAATGCCAAAATGGCGAAGGAAGGGCAATATCACACGTCGCACTCGTTGAAGGGGCTTACATGGAAAGGTAATCATTAGGTGGAAGGAGAATCGTTTCTCACATAAGAGGAACTGTTTCTTGGAGAACATCAGGAAAGAGGAACCGTTTTTGGAAAAAGAACGGCATACCATGCTACAAGTAAGGCACCCCAGATAGGGTCATACCGGGGGTATCCAGAAGAATCTCGGTTATCTCCTATAGCCAAGATGAGAAGCCGAGGTCCAAACCAAAGCAGAAAGTGGTAAGGCCAAGATGACTAGCATCCGGGGTAAAACGCAGACATCAAGAGGCCTAACTTGGACATCCCGTCATCCTGAACATTCAGTCTACCGGGCTGGGAGGCGACTGTTATGGACCTGAGAAGGGCCTACATTCGCATGAAGCCCAAGTAGTACGAGCTCAAAGGTAAGCACTATAAATAGGAGCTAAAGACCACAGGTATGACTGATCTTTTTCTAACCCTATTTTATGCAATCACACAGCGCACACACACCCCCCTTTGGCTAAGGCCGTCATATAGTGTGTAGTGATTTGCTGTCCCCAAGATACCTAATCCATAGGTATCTAGAGAAAGCACTAGATCCAACATCAACTATCTAACCTACGGTTAGACATCTCTGCCTCAGGCAGAACATATATATATATATATATATATATATATATATATATATATATATATATATATATGGTAAAATCATTTTTGCAGCCGCTTTACGTACAACAACGACATGTGTATGATTATGATTCTCCATATTTAATGCTTTCATCCTTTATATGGTTATGATTCCCCACATTTAATGCTTTCAAGTATATATATATGGCAAGTATTTTATTGTTGCACGTACAGCTACTGCAGAAATGTAAACTCCTATATATAAATATATATATATATATATATATGTGTGTGTGTGTGTGGCAAAATGATTTGTAATGTGAATGTATATAAACATTGGTGCAGACATATAAAAACTACGTTGTTTTGGGTGGGATAAAGGAAGTTCGCGTTTAAAATTAATTATAGAAAATAAAAATATTATATTTATTTATACCTTTGTATGGTTATGATTCTCCATATTTAATGTTTTATATTTATTTCCACCTTTGTATTGTTATTATTCCCCATATTTAATATTTTCACATTATAAAACGACATAGTTTTATATGACTCCACAAATCCTTAGGTGCAGTCACTTTACATCCACTAAGGTATATATATATATATATATATATATATATATATATATATATATAGGTTTTACTTTTATCCTTTAACATAACACAACAAACTTTCCTACTCTCACAACATTTTGTGGGGCCCACACTTTTTAAAACAAAAAAATAAATAAAAAATTAAGGCACGCAAAACGAATCTCTATAACATTACACAATCATTTTTCCTACAACATAACTCTTATAAAACTATATATATATATATATATATATATATATATATATATATATATATATAAAACACGCACCAGACAAAAAATTATCAATAGATAATTTAATATAAATGTGCAACGGATCGACCATTTATTTTATATTTATAGTTTTATACAATCATTAATTAACAATTGATACTTTTCATTCATCACGTAGGTAGAATTATTAGTTTAACTGAATAAGTTAAGGCTTATGCCTTTAAAAAATGTGTATTTGATTTATTGGTTTTACTTATTTTTATTTAGATATATACAAAATTTATTACTTATATATTAGTATAATAAATTAATTTTTATAATAAGAAAAAATTTATTAAAAGTTACAGGTAAGTTATATTTCTTAAATAATTTAGAGAATTTTATGTGATGTAAGCTTTTTTAACTTATTTTCACCTCTAAACACTAAATGGGATATGTGAACTTGCATTAAACTCTTCTTATTGCTCCAACCAGGAAAATAACATCTTGGACTTATTTGCATAATTAAGATTCCAAGCTCATACATACAGAATGCATAATCATTGAATCTTGAGGTTATATATATAGGAGAAGATTCGTTTATAAATTTTTTGTACAAATTTTAAAAATTACACTGTCTTCTCTTGGGAGAAGATAGTGTAACTAGTGTTCTTCCAGGAGAAGATAATGTAGTTTGTAAATAAAAAAGTTTATAAATATAACTTGTCCCATATATATGGGAAAAAGAAGTATAATTTAAAATAACACAAGTTGTGTCCTTTTAGGTGATTTACACAAAGTATGACTGGTCATATTTTGTGCAAATATGAAAAGTTACTTTTTTCTCTCTCGTGTAAAGTGAAATTTTTTTTTCAGATTTACACAAAGTATGACCGATCATACTTTGTGTAAGTCACTAAGAGGACATAACTTGTATAACTTTAAATGACACATACTAAACTCTATATATATATATATATATATATATAAGGTTTATCATTTATCATTTAACATGACCACAAAAAGTTTCCTACGCACACAACATTTTGTGGGGCCCGCAGCAAAAAAAAAAAAAAACTTCGGCACGCAAAACGAATCTCTATAACATAACACAATCACTTTTCCTACAACATGACTCTTATAAAACCTATATATATATATGCCCACATATTTTATTGCAAGACGTTGTCTTTTTTCTTTTTTCGGTAAACAAAACATTGTCTTTTAACCCAGCCCTTACTAAACCAAGTATACTGTCTTGTATATAAAACTTGGATTCAATACTATTTTCGACCCTTTGCACCCATTTTTTGTCACACTTTAACAAGAAACATTTAAGAATTTGATTGAATGAACTTTAAAGTCTCATATGCATTATACACATAAAGAAAATGCAAAGAGGCATTATAATCATTTCCCTAAAACATTTTTATAAACTACTCAAATAAAGGTGGGGTTATTGGCCCTCCCAATCTTCCCTCCACAATTTTCACTAAAAATTAATAATTATAATTTTTTTAAACTATCTTCACTTATTTTTTTATTTTTTTGATAGACAAAAGGGCCATTAGCCCAAAAACAAAGAAAAACGAAAAAACGAAAAAAACACAAGGACCCTATCAAGAGTATAAACTACTCTATCAAGAGTAACCTATGACACGATCCCTAGCAACAGCAGCAAGATCAGCCAAAAAAATAAAATGAATTCCATGCGGTGCCTCAGGGAGAATCAGCTGATCATTTTGATCGCTATCATCCAGAATGAAGTTAGCCAGCCAGTCCGCACACATGTTTCCTTCTCTAAACGTATGATTTATTCTGACTTTCCAATCTTTGTTGAGCCATGTCCATATACGAGAAACAAGTTGAATCTCACAGACTGCTGCACTTCCGGAAGTGAGCACAGTGATTGCACTAGATGAATCACTCTCAAGAATCACATTGCGGTAACCTTCTTTCCACGCCAGCTCCAAACCACACAAAGTACCCCATAATTCAGCTCTATAAGAAGAACAAATACCTAGTCTCTTAGCATAACCACATAACCATTTGCCACTAGCATCCCTGATCAGGCCTCCACAAGCAGCATTCCCAGGATTACCCCTAGCCGCACCATCTGAATTTAATTTAATAAAACCAACTTCAGGAAACTGCCAACAAATGCTCGTAATGATACTCCCTGATCCAGCAAGCCTGTTAACCACGCTGTTTTTCTTTTTACCAACATCCATCACTAGCTGATGAATCATGTGGACCTTAATATGTAACAGTGGTGCCTCACCCCCATGCATAACTAGATTTCTCCAGGACCATATTTTCCAACAAGTTATGAAGAACATGGATATCCACGAAAAAGAGGACCACATAGCAGATCCACGCAAAATATTATACTTTGTCCACAATGGAAGCTCCCCTGTGAAGAAATCTGAATGGTGCAACTCAGGAATCAAATTTAACCATACCTGTTTTGCCTCCATACAATCCCGTAAAGCATGAATAATGGATTCAGTATCAAGATGGCAGCAAGGGCAGTTAGGATCAACATCACTCCATTGTGAAATTTTCATCCTCGTTAGCAGTTTATTATGCAGAATCTTCCACATGAAGATTTTTGGTTTTTGCGGACCCTTCCAAGACCACAAACTTTTCCACACCCTCCTCTCCTCCTCATCCATAATAACATTCGTAGACAAGATCTGATAGATGGAGCTCACTGAGAATTTCGCCTTCCATTATTCAACCATTCCCTCTTATCAGGACCATCATCTGGACTTGGAGGCAAAGTGCTCCTAATAGAAGCAAGAATATTATTAGGAAGCCAAGCAAACAAGGCATCAAAATTTCAAGTTCCTGTTACATTCACCATATTTGCCACTGTAGTATTAATATCAAAATTGACATCCTCATTATGGGTTAAACCCTGAAGAGCACCCACATTAGGAAGCCAACTGTCAGCCCAAAAACGAACATCTCTTCCATTACCAAGTGACCAAGTAATCTGCCCCTCCATGTGTGACCAGATTCTGCATAAATGAATCAACAACCTTGAGTCTCCAACCCGAGCAACAAAAGGCAAGGAGCCTCTGCTGCTTTTAACATACTTTGCATGCAACACATTAATCCATAGCTGTTGCTTATTAGATTGGAACATTCATGCTCTCTTAGCCAAGAAAGCATAATTCATCTGGTTTAATTTTTTGAAACCCAAACCACCACATTCCTTGGGCAAAGTAATTACGTCCCAGCTGATCAAATGATTCTTCTTCTGGATATCCGAATCTCCCCATATGATCCGACGCTGCATTCTCTCAATATCATCACAAACAGACATTGGAAGCATGCAACTTTGCATTTGAAAGAAAGGAATGGTTGTCATGACTGATTGAGCAAGAGTTATACGACCTGCTTGAGATAGACATTGTCTTTCCCAGTTACTCAATTTCTCCTTGACCCGATCAACAATACCATCATACAAACTTCTCTTCACCCGCCCATGCTGCATCATGGAGCCCAAATATCGACCAATATTCTTCACTCTTTTAAACCCACTGACCTGGACAATCTTATTAATATTCTCCTCCGATGTATTTTTTGAGAAGAAAACACTAGTCTTATCAACACTTAATTTTTGCCCAGACATCTCTTCAAACAAGCTTAAACATTTGAGCAAAATGTGAATTTGTTCCTCACTAGCTTCCATAAACACCATTAGATCATCAGCAAAAGCTACATGAGATATCCTAAGGCCATTCTTTCCCACACGCATAGGCTTCCAAAGCTCACCATTTGAGGCAATATCAGTTATATGTGTCAACTTTTCCATAGCCATTACAAACAAATATGAAGAGAGTGGATCTCCTTGCTGAAGACCTCTAGAAGGAAAGAAATCATGTGTTTTCCCTCCATTCGAAAGCACATTGATCGTAGACGAGGAGACACAGTGCATTATCAACTTGACCATCACATCAAGAATGTGAATTTCTTCCAAAGTCTTCTTCATGAACTGCCAGCTAACCCTCTCATATGCCTTGACTAAATCGATTTTGATGGCTATAAAAGCTTTCCTCCCCCTCATTTTACTCATTGAATGAACCAGCTCTTGTACAATGATAATGTTATCTTGGATTTGCCGGTTCGGCACAAGGCTGACTTGAGATGGTGAAATGATCTTTTCCATCACAGGTTTGAGTCTCCCAACAATGAATTTGGACAGAATTTTATAAAGAACCGAACAAAGAGATATTGGCCGAAATTGGGTAATAGATTCTGGTCTTTTAGTTTTCGGAATCAGCACTAACAAGGTGTGATTTACCTCAGCAATCCTTTTTGGTGTACACCACAAATCTTTAACAGTCTTACAAACCTGACCTTTAATTTGATTCCACTGTCGTTGATAAAAAACAGCAGGAAACTCGTCCGATCCTGGTGCTTTAAAAGCCCCCATTGAGAATACACACTTCATTATTTCCTGATTAGTAGGCGTGATTGACATGTTGTTCAACTCGGACATGGACAAACGAGGCCAGCTCTTTTCGGATACCAGCCATCTTTTGTCAGTAATTTCTTCACAAAACAGCTGACTGTAGAACTGACAAACATGCTGCTTGAGCTCATTTGGATTTTCTATCCATTGTTGTAGCTCATCTTTCAATTTTAAAATCTTATTACTGCTTCTGTGTAAAACAGTTTTAAGATGATAAAATCGAGTGTTCTTGTCTCCATCATCTATCCATTTTTGCCTTGACTTCTGGAACCAAAGAAGCTCTTCTTGATCAAGTGTAATATGCAGGTTATGTTGCAACTATTGTTCAATCTCTTGGAGCTCATGACAATCATTCCCTTCCCTCCTACTTTGAATATTAGCAATACTTTGCAACAAAGATTTCTTTCTTCTGTTAATATCCCCGAATACCTCCCTTTTCCATTTATGAAGATGAGGCACAAACCTTGGAAGCATTCGCGAGATCTCCTCAGTTTTATTCCACTTATCCTCCATAAGGGTATCAAAACTCGGATGATCCATCCATGTTGCCATAAACCTAAACGGTCTATGCTGCCAATGCTGACTTTGTTTTTCCAGCTTCAAAAGAAGAGGATTATGGTCAGAAAGAACCCTAGGAAGAGTTTGAGCCGTAGCATCTCCAAACTCCAGCGTCCATTGCAGATTAGCACATTTTATATCTAGTTTCTTATAAACTCTATCAAGATTGTTCCACTTTGGTCCCTGCCATGTGAACTTTGCACCATTAACATCAACATCCCTAACCTGACAGTTATCCAAGAAAGATTGGAATCTCAAACATTTTGCTAGGTCCGGTCTGGTACCTCCTTTTTTCTCACTGCTACATTTGATATCGTTAAAATCACTAGCCATGATCCAAGGCTCATTAATAGACTGGCTAAGATAAGACGCCTTCTCCCACATATCATGTCGAGTTCCTTCATGCGGGCTGGCATAAACAGCTGTACACACAAACTTCTTAATACCTTCCACTTCAATATTCATGTGAATGAATTGGCTCTCTTGACAGATGGAGTCCACTCTTGCTTTATTTGAGTTCCACATAACCCAAATACCTCCAGCAAAGCCATTAGCTTCTTCAAATATAATCTTATCAAAACAAAGTTTCTTCATAATTTTTGTACTGTTAACACTAGGTGTACGAGTCTCCATAAGCATAACAATGCAAGATTCATGTTTATCAACCAAAAGCTTTAGAGAATGACCAAGTTTCGCTTTGGCTGCTCCTCTACAGTTCCAAATAAGTACTGACATTAAAGACTACCTGATATTTTTGCAGGTTGAGATTGCTCCTACAGCAACATCTTCTGATTCTGAACTATAAATTCATCATTAGACTGCCCCCTATCTCCAGCTGCCTCGTACTCCATAGTTTGGGTTGATGCTGGATCAGGTGGTTTAGGGGCCTGATCTATCACCATAACATCTGGAGGTGCTAAATTGACCCTTACCTTGTCCACACCATTAGTCCCGAACTAAATATCCCTAAGACTGTCACTTTCATTACCTCATATGCTGCTGTCTTTAGTATTCGCGTCTCCCAGTGACTTTATCCCCTCCTTCTACACAATATTTTTTGTGATGATTTTTTGCTGGCTCCTTCTCCTTGCTTGTCCTCCTGACTCAGCCCGCCTTCCCAAACCAACCTATAAGCACTCTCTGTTTCAACCAATTGAACTTTCTCTTTGTGCGCATTTGATCTAGCTTGAACATGATTGGTGGTCCGGTGTTGCTCCTTCTCCTTCGAAGTGTTGTTCTTCATCACCTTCTGGCTAGATTTCCCTTCAGACTGATCCTTTTCCTGAGAAGCCCTCGGTTCCGCAACCGCAAATGTTTTCTTTTTATCTTGTTTTTCCTCAGTGTTTGTAGCTGCACCTCCCCTATGTGAATTGGGTTTACCTTTTTTTGTTCGTGACACAACCTTCCAAGGGCCAAAGTTAAAAGATTGCACTTCAGCTTCCCCTCCCCCGTATGCCTTCTCCTGAGACTCCTTACAAATAGATTCATCATCTATGCTCACTATTTGATCTGATTTTACTGCACTAGGGCAAGCATCAACATTATGACCATACCTCCCACATCCAAAACAAACCAGGTGTAAACCTTCGTACTTAACTTGTTTATATTTTCCATCAGTATAATATTCAGCTTTTAAAGGCTGGCTTAGGTCTAATTCAACGCAGATCCTTGCAAACTTACCCCTTGCTAAGTTCGTTGTAGCAGAATCCAATTTGATGAAAGTACCTACCCAATCTCCAAGACTCTTCATAAGGGATGTGTTGACGTACTCTATTGGAAACCCAGGAAGTCTTATCCAAGCAGTAATTTTTCCAATAGAAGTTTGCATAGCATGGAAATCCGGTTCCCACCTACGAATGGCTAGGTAGTGACCAAAGATGCTCCATGGACCAGCTAATAGAGCAAAATTCATATCCTCCTTCTTCTCAAACCTAACAAAGATAAAATCGTTTTCAACATCAGTCACAAGAATTTTACCTTCTCGTGCCCACATGTTCTCCAGCCTCTTTTTCATGAAAGACACCGACAACTTCTTGGCTAACAGCTTAACAATCAACGTCTGTCTCCAAGGTTTCCATGCCTTCTACTTAAACTGAGCTGATAACTTAAAATTTATGCACCCATCTGGTCGGGATTCCAACGTTACCTCCTCCGGATTAGGTTGCTCCTCTTTATTCCCCACTGGAACGTCCTCATCCAGCGTTCCATCAACCTCTTTCGGATCTAGATCATCTTCGGGCATCCATTCCCCATTGTTCCTCAGCAGTATCTCTTTGAAACTAGCCTAGCCGTCCATCCAAGTTTCATCCCTCGAGACTAAAGAATATTCATTAGAGAAATTATCTTCTCCTCCCTTATATTTCTTTGTGCTCCTCCTCAAATTGTCTGTTTCCTCCTCCGACGAAGGGCCACGAGCAGCTGTTTTTTGCATGGCTAGGGCACGCAGCATGGAACCTAGCAGACAGTTTTTTTCAAACTATCTTCACTTAAATATGTTTTATTCAAATTAAATTTTAATTAATTGTTTCAATATTTATCTATTTACCCTACCTCTTTGCTTTTTGTTGGTTGAAATATCCGCTTCCACTTTATCTCAATTATTCTCGTCCTATTTTTCCCAATAAAACTGTTCAATCTTTTTATAAGGTTTGATGTTTCTTATATTGTAGGAGATAAATTATCTTCTATTCATATATAAAACTGTGTGAATCATATGCGGGGTCATATGAAGAGAAGAGATGAAAAAAAATATGAACCCCACACACTTCTATGTGTGCGTAGGATTATCTCTTACAACATGAAAGATATTAAACCCTTATACTTAAGTGACTTTTCATTATTAAAATTTATGGTAATATGTCAGTGTGTTATTTCCTTTAACTTTTATGTGATGTTTAAAGACGTGCATTTAGACAATAGCGTTTGAAATTCACTTGTTATTATGTGTAGTATTATATATATTTTCATTGAAATATTGATTTTAACTTTTTTCATTTGGCTATTTTGATAATATACATATTGTCATTTTTGTACTTAGAACTTATACTTTATATGTGATTTTTGCAATGAATCCTTCCTGTGTAGAAAGATAATTTTCAGACAATCCCCAGAAGACAATTTGGAAGAAAGTGTGGTCTTGGAGAGGACATGAGCGAATTAAAACGATGATGTGGATGGCTATTCTTGGTAAAACACTTGTTCGAAGTAATACCTGTAAGTGGAGTGCAGGTTCAAATATGTGTCAAAGTTGTCCTTACAAGGAGGAAACTATTGCTCATGTGCTTCGAGATTGTAAACATGCAAAGAAGATATAGAAGGATTGGTTTAGAGGACATGAGCCTTCTAACTTTTATACCATGGAAATCATTGACTAGTTTTCGAATAATATGGAAGGTTCTGTGGAACCAATGCACTCTACGCAAATAATATAAAGATTCAATGATTTTGATGATAACAAACAAGCATGAAAGGAAGGCTTCAAGTTGCAACAATCAAAAAGAAACAAACATCCAACGATCATGAAGTCCTTCAAGATTCAAGCTTCAAGAGAAGAATCTGAGTCCAAGAATTATCAAGTAATATACTTTAGGACTTAGAATTAATTGTGAGGGTAACTAACCTCTTGCATGAATAAGCTCAAACGTATTTTTTTCAAAATACATGCATTAAATTATCATTTGATTACATAGAGGATTTATAACATTACGCTTTCATATAAACATGTTTGAAAAGGTGTTAGAATGTTTTTAAACGTATTTCCAACCCTTCTAAAAGGTTGGGAATCGATTCCCTGTGATAAGGAATCGATTCCCACTCATTTGAAAGGTTGGGAATCAATTCCTTTTACACCAGAGGACAAAAATAACGGCTATAAACAGCTAATTTTGCAAAAATGAGTGTGCAAACCTCTATAAATAGTGACCATTGATCCCCTTGATGGGACACACCTCTTGATCATAATCCTTGCTTTATTTCACATCATTTACTTACTTTCTATCATCTTGATCATAAATCATTCTTGAGCTTTATTCTTGTGAGAGTGTCAACACCCATAGTTCTTCAACTTGTATTATTTGTACTTTGAGAGTACTTAGCTATTGCTTAAACACCTCCATTTGATTTCTTGAATAGTTAGGGGAGTGAACCCTATACACTTGAAAGGTCACCAAATTCCTAAGAAAATTTGGAGTGAAAAAGTGTAAGGCATCAAGAGCCGAAGTCTTGAAAGGTTATAGTGGTTTGTCAAGCACCCTCAAGCTTGATAGTTAGTGAAAAGAATTGATCGAGCGGTTTCAGTCTGGACGTAGGTCACAGTGGTGGTGACCGAACCAGGATACATCTAGTTTGCAATTTCTCTAGCCTTAATCTCTTTATTTAAGTATTAAAATTGCATTTTAGATTGTCTTTATATATTCGTTTGCTTACTTTGTTGATCACTACACTTGCTCTTACACTTAGATTTTTCCTTATTAAATCACTTTATTGAAGAAATAACCTTTAAAATATAAAAGGAGGTACTTTGCGAAAAAAATTTGTAAAACTCAATTCACCCTCTCTCTTGAGTATTGAAGCCACCTGTCCAACAAGTGGTATCACAGCTTGAACTCTTGTGTAAAGAGCTTAACCACTTCAAGAGAAGGGATGGCTTTTTTGAACCAAGATATGCCCCTTGAGGGATCATCTAGTACTAGACCTCCATTTTTCAATAGCGTCGATTATTCTTATTGGAATAGTCAGATGAAAATATTTCTTCAATCTAATGATTTAAGAGTATGTAATGTAGTTGAAAAAAGGTACACACCACCTACTATAAAAAATGCGAAAGATGAAGATGTTCCTAAAGATATAGATAATTACACTGAAGATGAAATTAAGAAAGGAAATTGGAATGCTAGAGCTCAAAACTTGATCACAAATGCCTTAGGTCGTGATGAATACTTTCGTGTTTCAAATTGTAAGAATGCTAAGGAAATGTGGGATATTCTTCAAATAACCCATGAAGGAACTTGTGATGCTAAATTTACAAAATTAAATGCACTCACTAGAGAATTTGAAATGTTTGAGATTCATGAAAATGAAAGTATTCAAAGTATGTAAAAGAGATTCACACACCTTGTCACTCATCTAAATGCTTTAGATAAATCTTTTACTAACCTTGAGTTAATTGCTAAGGTGATGAGAAGTGTGCACAATAAGGAATGACAACCCAAGTTGACGGCTATAACGGAATCAAAAGATTTGAAAACCATGGATCTTGCAACCTTGTTCGGCAAACTTCAAGAGTGTGAAATGGAACTAAGTAGGATAACCTTGAAGGAACAAGCCATTAAGAAAAGTAAGGGAATTGCCTTAAAAGCCTCAACACTAAGCAAAGAGAAGAATGAGGAAAAAGAAAATGGAGATCCCGAAAGTGATCTTGATGAAGATGAGTCTCTTCGTAAAGAAGTATGGAAAATTTTTTAAGAAATATTTTTCAAAGAGACCCGCATTTCCTCCTAGAAGAAGATCTAAAGACGAAGGATCCTCACAACTCACCATCACTTGCTATGAATGTGGAAAGACGGGTCACTACAAATCAGATTGTCCAAATATTCAAAAGAAAGACAAATATGAAAAGAAGCAAGGCAAAGATAAAAAGAACTTCAAGAAGGCTTATCTTGCTTGGATGTTGAATCTAGTTCTTCCGATGATGGCTCCAAGGAAGAAGTAAACATTTGCTTTATGCAAGAAGGGAGACCACCGGAGAAATCAAGCAAAGGAACTCAACATATATGTCTAATGGCAAATAAGGATGAATCCGAAAATGAGGTAAACTCATCTTGCTCTACTATTTTCCCTTCATATGATGAGTTGGCTAAAATGTTTGAAGAAATGCATAATGAAACACTATAACATGTTAAAACTCTTAGAGCATCAAGAAAAACTATTACCTCTTTGGAAAAACAAATTGTATCCTTAGAAAAGGAGGTAAAAGATTTGAAAGATGAAAATGAAACTCTCAAATTACTTGATGCTAGCACTAGTTGTATCAAATGTCTATCTTCAAATGATCATGCATCTTCGTCGTCATGTACATCATGTAAAGATCTAAACAATGAAATTGATGACTTAAATGAAATTTTAAGCAAATTCACATGTGGTAGAGATAACTTAAATGTGTTGCTTGGTAAACAAAGATGCATGTTTAACAAATCTGGCTTAGGCTTTGACATTAACACACAAGAAAAATCATATAAAAACTTTTTCATTTCTCCATCCTACATGACAATTAGCTCATTCATTAAATGTTTTCATTGTGGTGGAAAAGGTCATAGTGCTTCCACATGTAAAGTTAGAAAGAATGGTATTATTGGGCAAAAGAAAGTGTGGGTTCCCAAGGGAACTAAGCCCAAGACTAACACACAAGGACCCAACAAAGTGTGGGTACCAAAGATTAAATCTTGACTTTGTGATGTAGGTTTCTTTGAAGGATAAAAGCTCCAAGTGGTACTTAGATAGTGGTTGCTCAAGTCACATGACGGGAGATGTAACTAAATTCCAATCATTCACAAAGAAAGAGCATGGACATGTTTCCTATGGAGATAACAACAAAGGAAAGATACTTGGTATTGGAAAAGTTAGTAACTCCTCCTCCGTCTCTATAGAAAATGTTTTACTTGTTGAAGGCCTTAGACATAACTTACTTAGCATTAGTCAATTATATGATAAAAATTATAGAGTTATTTTTGACTCAACCTCTTGTAAAATCGAAAGTCTAATTGATGGGCAAGTTAAGTTTCTTGGTCATAGAATGGATAATATTTATATGATGGACTTAGATGGTATGCCTTCAAATGACGATAAATGTTTGATTAGTAAGGAAGATGACTCTTGGTTATGGCATAGAAGAATAGCACACATTGGCATGAGTCAATTAAGCAAATTGATTTCATTAGACCTAGTGATTGGGTTACCAAAACTCAAATCTGAAAAAGATAAAGTTTGTGATGCTTGTCAAATGGAAAAACAAGTAGAGGCTTCTTTTAAATCAAAAAATGTTGTTTCTACCACAAAACCTTTATAACTTTTGCATATGGATCTTTTTGGACCAACTAGAACAATGAGCTTTGGTGGCAATTACTATGCTTTTAAATCATTCAAGAGACTAGCCAAGTTTATTCAAAATGAACAATCTTCAAATATTGTTTCAATTAGAACCGAACATGGTGGAGAATTTGAAAATCAAGATTTTGAAACCTTTTG